ACATATTCATATATGTGGTACATATATACTAGATTCATACATACACACTTCTAAGCAATATTGCATTCAGACGCTGTAAACTGGTTTATTATTGTTGTTCTTTTAATTTTGTTATGCGCCAGTGTTGTTGTTGTTATTGCTATTGCTTTTAAGTTGGTCTTAAAACCTATTTCGCCTCACAACACAAMAACAGCAGCAGCAAAAACAAGAAAAGTGCCAGCGAATTCGTTAATGATGACGGACTGCCGGGCTGTGCAAAGCAATAATTTTCGTTACCAACAATTCTTCAACACTTTTGCAGAATCTTTTAACACTTTTCTACACCAGCTTATTTATTTTTGCAATACTAGCAATTATGCATTTACTCTTTCCCAAACACTTATTGAATTATGCATTTACTTTTCTCATTGAAACTTGAAGTAAAAATTTTCATTCTTTCATTTTTCCATTTATTAAATTTACACCTTTCCATTTACGGCCATTTCATTCGCACTGGCCCAAAGCGCTATGTAGCCATTTCATTTGCAATATGTGTGCTCACTGGCATTGMAACAACAACAACGCGCTACACAGCCACACATAGTATGCACACACACACCCAAACAAACGCGCACTAACCGCCACAAGCTAACCACTGAATTCACTTACGAGCACTTTTGTTTACCACGTCCGACAGGTTCGAGAATCAAASCGTAACTGAAGTTACAGGTTGTCGCGCTGCACTAAGCCAGCGGCTAGCGCAAACTGGCTACCAACATTCGGCGCGCACACACACAATCGGGCACTCACGTTCTGCCACACGGAAACGAGATAACASGAACAAAGTTTCGCTTTGTTAACAATGTTCGCTGCTAGTTAGCCAGTAACTTAGTAGGCCAGTTAGTGTATGGCTAAGAGCAAATGCAAAAGTTAGCACAGGTAAAGTTGGCTAGCCGGCAGGAAATCACCACACACGCTTGAAAAGGAAAAACCGATTGTGCGCGCACATTGCTGGTAGAGTGTGTGGAAATGAGCGCGGCATACAGGTAAGACGGCGGTGAGCGCGTTGGTTGAACAGGTAGGCGAGCAAAAACAAACTGTATGATACGGTAGTTAGTTGAGGGTTTGTGTCCGTGATAGTGTTGATTGATCGATTGCGCGCGATGGAACAGTGGTGGCTAAATAAATGGTGCAAATCAAAACGGAAAGTTAAAGTCAAAGCTGACACTAACCGTTAGTTGTGTTGCAGGTGCGGTTTGTTACAAGAAAAATCGAAATGGAGCGAGGCAACCCGACTAATGAAGACTTTTGAAAGCAAGCTAAACTTATTGAAAAAATTAAAATTTTGAATTGTATTAATATATGTTAAACATAACAGATTCACTTAGGCCAAGGTGTAGATAGAGTTCGTTCATATGCAGCTCTGAGCCACAGAAGATTTTAGAATCATATCCACATAATTTCATTAAAATATAACGAATATCGAAGAAAATAATCTAAAATAATTGGTTTAAGAATAATTTRTGAAAATAACTCTCAACTGACCGTTATATTTGGCATGATCGCCGTGGCAGGCTCGAATAAATTCCAGCTGAGAGGTGCAGTTTTGGATCACTTTTTTTAGCAATTGTCAGCAATAACTTTGGATATAATTCTGGACAGTATATTCCTGCACTAACTTCATCATCCATTTTGGAGCCATCCGCATAGATGTTCAGAGTGTTGCGCATAGCAAACACACCTTTATGCCAGTGTCAGTGTAGTTTTCATCGAAGAGATCTATAGATGGTTCCAGTTGAAGTGCCGCCGTTGAAGTTGTTCTTAAAGCTCCCGTTATGCATAGCGAACCTCTGAATCATATACCTACATCCACACTGGCTCTGCTCACTCAGTTGCACCTTGATAGAGACTTGTGTCTTATTTATAGAAAATAACCACTATAGAGGAATTTCTTGTGAACTCAAGCAGATCCGTTTTCTCTGCGTCGACCCCAGACCCGCTTACGAGAACTCATTTAGTTTTTAATTAAATAGTGTGTGAAAATAAAAGGAGATAAAGGAGGAAGAACAGTCCTTGGCAATTATTTTTAGAAGATTATCTTTTTCAAATGTTGACCGCAACTACGTCTCAGATTTTTCATCCGTTGACTCTAATTTTCGATGACTCATTCGAGCATTTCGACTGCTAACCGGCGAATGRAACGAGTGATGTTTTGCTACAAGGAATGCACCCAAGCGAATGGGGAATGTTGCTCGTTTACATTTCCATTGTGCCATAAACGGACCTCACGCTGAACAAAATTTGGCTTGGAAACGYCTGATTTTCTTGGAGCTTTCTCACATCCCATAGAGTAAATCGATGTCGCTGGCTAGATCGAGCCGCTTCAGTTTTTGCACAAGCTGCATTTTGTGCGCTTTCACTCTAAAATCTCGACGTAAAATGCGCCAAGTCGTTGAATACGTCAGTCCGAGTTGCTGCGAACGGCGTCGATCGACTCTCCACGGTCGTCTTGTACACTCTCAGCTGTGGCTGATTAAATAAAGTATCTCTACTAAACCAGCCGTTATATTACTCAGAAGTTTTGAGTTTCATCTTTCCTGAACCCTTCTTAAATAAAAAGATCGGTTGACAATGAGCCAAGAGTGCGCAAGAGTATGAAAAAACGGTTTTTTAAGTTTAAGGCGAGATTTTAGCGGTGTTTGGAAAACTCCAAAATTGGATGATCATTCTACTCTATAAGAGTTACATAATTTCCCAGGTATGTCGACTTCATCACTGTGTAATTGATCATAAGATAATGCTTGCAGACGACCTCAAACTTCTTAAACGGCTTTACGAATAGTCTAATTACCACGCAGTTTTAACTTTTTCGTGTTACATACATCACATGAATTATCGCATTATACCTTTTAGAACTCAACTTTTCGAAAGTGTATGGCAATGCATAAATTCTTCCTGCTTATAATTCCAATGCTATATWGTAGATTATATTTAGAGTAATTYCCATGTTAATAAGGTGGTTTAATGTTCCTGAAAATTTATGATTATAACGGTTCTTCGCTAAAGGCCACAGTGAGTCACTAAAAAGGTCGCGCCATTCTTATCAACCGCTCGTTGACTTCCGCCAGTATAAAAGCTCAAGCCAGCAAGCAAAATGTTAGTTAAGCTTTCGATCAGCTCTTCCGCAGTCATGTTTATATTTTACGTAGTTGCGCTTTTAACTTTTTCCATTACGCACCTACAAGGTACACCGGTTCAAAATGTCACCACCGCATTTATCGAGAAGCAGGGTCTAATTGATCTGACACATTTCGGTGAACGCATATACGGCCACCCCGATAAGGCGGCTGGTGAACAGCTCTCCAATCTCGAAGCGCACGAAATGCTGAATCCAGAGGAACTCGGTCCCTATCTAGAGGGCGATTTGCTCATACCGCATGGCAAAAAACTCATATACCGCAATGGTCTTGCAACATATAGTGCACGTTGGCCGAGAGGCATTGTACCCTATGAGATAAAGGGGCGTTTCAGTGAGCAAGAATTGGCGATGATAGACAATGCCTTTGAGGAGTATCACAACAAAACGTGCATACGCTTCAAACCACGCTCCAATGAGCGCGATTATGTTGTAATCACAGGCAATAACACCGGCTGTTGGGGAAGTGTGGGTAGGTTGGGTGGCAAACAGGTTGTGAATTTACAGCCTGTTGCTTGCTTTCGTAAACCCGGCACATCGATGCACGAACTGATGCATGCACTCGGCTTCGTACATGAGCACAATCGACACGAACGCGATAGCTATATACGGGTGCTGCGTCAGAATGTTAAGAATGGGATGTTGGTCAATTTTGATAAGGCTTCTCCATCGGCGTTAAACAGTTTCGGTGTACCATATGATTATGCAAGTGTGATGCATTACTCGAAGAGAAGTTTCTCGAAGAATGGCCAGCCAACTATTGAGATATTGGTAAGTTGACTTAATTTTGTTCAGAAAATAAGGTTCTTGCGGAGTTTTGAGCAACTGATATCGTTCTATATACATAATTTTATTTAGATATAGACTTAAAGTGTGCAGGRATTATTGAGCGTGGTGCTTAGATTGGGTTGTATTATTCCCCTCTTTCGGAAGGCCGTTGGTTGACGTTTTTAAACCACAAAAATAACGCTTGTAAAGTGATAAGTCAACTATACAAATCACAGTCTCCGGTATTTGTTACTTTCTTGCCTGTTAAGGTGAAAAGAACGACTTTCTTAAGTTCGTCATGTATATATTGGGTTCAGGATATGCTTTTCCATATCGAGATGCCACAAAGAATAAGTGCCGATGCATCAAAAC